AGAATTTCCATCAATCTGGACCCTGATGACGAGCAGAGGCACATGCCAACTCATGTTGGAAATGTAGAGTGAGCAAGAAACTGCATTGTTCTAATAAGCCACTGAGATTTTATATTTTTGTTGAAGCATAATCTAGATTATCCTGACTGTGATTATAGCTTTGGGGTTTTTACCAGAGTATTCCAGTTTCTACACACGTGGAGAGTAGTTTGGGAACAGGAGCCAGTGACCATACCACCAGAATCCAGTTTGGTCGGACATCAGAGCAGGACAATTCAAAAGCACTAGTACAAGAAATAAATGAACATGATTTTCCTTCTTAGCTTCTAGAGCCATTTATATTTAGAAGGACAAGCTCAGAAGCCATAGATTGTGGCAGGTTATTAATACATAAATGTACTCTGAGTTTATAAGACCACACATTGTAACAGTCAGTCAACAATATTTCTTATGTATAAAGAACTTTGAATTAGGTGTGTTGGAATACAGAAAAATGAGAAATAGATGATTATAATAATCCCTTATATCATGTGCCACGCACTATAGGTTCCAAAGATTTTTCAAAAATATTTTCTTCCACTCAGCGAAGTAGGTAGGGAAAGTATTATCCTAGTTTTACAGATGAGGAAATGGAAACTCACAAAGATTAAATGACTTGCCTAAGGTCACATCAAAGTCACAAAGCGGATATGTGGTAGACACAAAACTAGAAGCATCACTTCTGAGTAGAGGCTCTTTCATACCAGCCTATAAATTAAAGTAGGTACTTCTCCTGAGGGCTGAAATTCTTGTTGCCAGAACAAGTTTAAGAATATTTTCAAAGCCTATAGTCAAATACATGAACATCACTGAAGTATTTGTTTGTGCCACGGTATTGGATGAATGCTATAATTAGAAAATGAACATGAAGAAGACCTCGAACCATCAAACAGATATGGGGGTTTCTAAAGCCCTTTTCAATTTCATCCTTTTCAGACTGAAAAGACAGCATGAAGTGTTGGGGAGATGTTGGCTAGAAACCTTGGGAGCTTCCCAGATGAAATCTGAAACTGGCACCGACACATGGAGAGCAAGGAGAGACTGAAGAAAGTGGCAGATCACTCCATATCGGTAGGTGGCAGGTTTAACAAGCAAGGGAACTTACATACAAGGCTTGTCTTAGGCAGCCACAAGACAAGTAGATCTCCACACCTGCTGCCAAAATCTTAAAAGTTTATACAGAGGCCTTAACGGGGTTCAGTCACATAAACTGTCCAGATGCTCTCAATAACACATTGCTCTCTCAAGGCTGCGTCCTTGAAAACAGCTCCAGCTGTGGGAATGGTGAGCAGAACGCACATTTCAAGGACAGGGGAGGGAATGAGAAGCCTCCAATAGCCCAGGTCCAGCTTTTGGGTCAACCAGTGGTCACGTCCTCTTGATGACCTTCCCCAACAGGAGAGAATCAACACTAAGGAAAACTAAAAATCACCATTTATGTGTGACTTTAATTCTCAAGTGATTTTAATGTATATTTTTTCACCTGTATCTTACATTTTCCCTAGAAAGAATTATTGACTTGAGCCCAGATCTTGTGCCCATAAATCCTAAACTCTTATGATGAAAATAGATTTTTTAATCAAATTTTGGAATACTATTATAAGGCAACCCCCTTGGAAACTTGAAAGACTAACAAATTGATGTGGGGATTTTAACACACAGACTTATGCTCCCTCCCATTGACTCTGGGTTCTGTGCCTGCTTTAGTTCTGGCAGTTTCTGGACCAGGTCTTATGAAAATGGTAGCTCCTAATTCCTGTCTCTTGGGATACTCACTCTTGAAACCCAGCCACCATGCTGTAAGGAAGCCCAAGTAGTCCATGGAGAGATCCACATGAAAAATAATTGAAGTCCCAATGCTGCAGCACCGGCTGAGCTTCCAGCCGATAGCCAGCACCAAATTGCCACCCATGTCAGTGAGCCATATTGGAAGTGACTCAGAAATGGGCTGTCCCATTGAGCCCCACCCAAATGGTAGATCTATGAGCAAAATAAAATATTACTGTTGTTTTAAGTTAGGGGATTTTGGGGTGGTTTGTTACACAGTACATTGGTGAAATTTGCCTAGGTTGGTTTTATGTGGAGAGGCCTTCTATAGTACATAATACAGAGTACCTTGGTCTGAGTTTAGGGATTTTGTGTCTTCTCTTGCATTTTACAGTTAAAGAAATGATCTCCTCCTGTGTGAACATGAATCTCCTCAAATGGGCCTTGGGTTTACTGTATTGTGCGGTTACCGTGTATTCTTGTAGTGTTGTCTGAGGTCATGGAGAAACGTCATATCTATATAAGATGGAAGGGGCCTTCAATGAAATGACTTGGGGTTCTTTTTGTCAATCAGTGGGGACAGTGGGGGCACTTCCTTTAAGGAAAGGAAATGAGATTTGGGACAGATGATAGAGAAATTCTCAACTCTCATTATGCCTCTTTCTTGTGCCTCTTTGATTTCAAAGTGCAAAAGTACTTTAAAGGAACTTAATATGCTTAAACTCACCAACGTCATGTTCTAAGGTCGCAGTTTGGCCTCACTCATGCCACAAACACTTAGGAGGAGCATTAGGTCTTTGACTGGGCCAGAGCTTAGAGAGGGCCTGGACCCCAAGCCCAGAGTGGTGATGAGTCTTCATTAGGAAAGACTTGTTCTTGGCGGGGAAAGCATATAAGAGATGGTGATATCCACCTACCAAACACCAATGGGATCCAATAGGATCCTGGGCTTGAATATGAATTTAAGGCAGGGATCTTGTCACGCCTAGCACAGTCCCTGACACATAGTAGATTTTGAGAGTGAGACTGAGACAGTGAGTGAGAAACGCTGGGCTCCTTTTGCCATTTAACCCAAGCTTTCTTGGAGGCTGCCATCTTTAAGCCCTTCTTGTTGCTTGTTGCTTGCGCGTGATTTCGTGCATTTGGCAACATAGATCAAGCCCACGAGGAAACAGTTTTTATACACACACACACACACACACAGAGCCCTACAGTGCAAATTTTATGAATCCGAATCGTGGTTCACACTTAATATATTTCATGATGAACTTCAAACCAATTCAAGGGAGGCGTTTTTCTGGCTTTTAAATTGACAGCAGCAGTCTGGGTTTTTCGTGACCCGATGCTCCGTCCAAACAGAAGCAGGGACTCCCTCCTCTTGCTCTCTCCGACTCTGCCTAACAGGGAGCGAACAGAGGCACCCGCAGTGGACTCGGCGCGCCGCATGGGGGACACTACCCGCGGGAGCTCCGTTTCCTCAAAGCACAGCTGGCTCAGGACGGAAGGACAGAGGCATCCAGGGTGCCAGGCGCGTAGTGCAGCTGAGCCGGAGCCCCCACGCCAGGGGCCGGGCCTCGGGGATTGCCGCCCCATACCGCCCACTCAGGAATCCCCTCCTCTGCCGGGCGCGCCCCCGCCCAGCTAGCCGCGCGCCGCGGCCGGATCTTCTCGAATTTCAACACAAAGGGAATCCTCGGCTGCAGGAAGTGCATCACCAGAGAGGGGGCCCGGGGGCGGGGAGAGGGGGATGCTTCCCTCCCTCTCTACACCCCCGCCCTCCCGGAGCCCTGGACGGCCGTGACGAAACCGTCAGGGTCCCCCCTACGCCCCATGAGCCGGGAGAATTCAAACAAGAAGCCCCCCCGCAACAGTAGGGGCGGGGGGCGGGCGCTGTCGCCTCCCTCCAAGCCCAGCTCCCCGGCGGCGAGGATGCCAACTACCCCTCGCCGGGCTAACGCACCTGTTCGCTTCCCCCTCCGTTCCTTCCGGGTGCACGAGCACCTGGGCTTACGTTTGTTTTTCTACCCCTGGGCTCTCAACTTTCCTGCCTTCCCCTCCAGGGTTTTCGGTAGAATGCCGGCTCCAGGTGTCCTCCTCCACTCCCAGCAGGGCTGCGCCCCGGGCTTGGGCGAGGCTTTCCCTGGCAGAACATTGGTGGAGAGGGAGTCCCCGCGTAAGCAAGGGGGAGAAGGACAGGGAGAGACCACTTTCGTTTTCCAAGACACTTGCCGTTCCGGGGACTCGGCCAGGCTGTCTCTCTGGAGGGGCCAGTCTTGGAGGCAGCCTCGCCGCAGGGCGGGAGGAGAGGAGGGAGGCTAGGCAAATTTGTGTTGAAGCTATTTTTTCAAGCCAACCTTGCTGTTTTTACTTAGATTGTATTTTGCAAATCAATAAAAACAGCAAACTTTTCTAGAAATGTTTTATTCACGTTTCTTCGGAGAGTGGGAAACCATCCATTGTCCATATAAAAAGCTATTATTTTCTTTTAGTTTAGAATGGCTTGGGGAAACCAATGGCAATTTGGGGAGAGGGGCTGAAACAGCCCTTTTTTGGAGCGCAGGAAGGAGAGGTGGAAAAACCCTGGCGCTTTGGATCAGTTCCCGGCTTGAAAGACCCGGGTGACCCGGCAGGGGGCCGCGCAACTAACTCCAGGCTGCCCCGCTCCTATCGCGGGCACTCACGATGACAGGTGCGCCGGAAGGGGGCCACCTCCCCCTGGGGCGTCTGGCCGCCTCAGCTCTCTGGGACACCACTGGGGGGCCTCCCCCCTCTCAAGTTCTAGGCGGAGGCCGGGTACCTGCCGCGACCTGTCTCCTCCCCTTTTCCAACACCACACCCACGGGACTCCGGTCTCCCCGGGAGAGGGACGGAGCGGGAACAAAGGGGTCTTTGTTCACTGGCTCCTGGGGGGGGTGGGAGTCGTGCTCGCTCGCGTTTCCCGGCGCCCCTTGGAGACGGGGAGGCTCAGCGCCACCGAGCCTCGCCCACATCGAGCGCTGTCCTCCATGACCCCAGCGCCTTAGGTCAGGGCACGGCGCCCCGGGCCACCGCGGGCTCTTTCCCGGCGGGTGGGGTGGGGGGCGAGGCACCGCGCGGCGGCGCCTGGCGGGCACTGCAGCCCGCGGAGGGACGGTGGGGGGGTTTCGGCAGCTGGCGGAGGTGGAGGGGGCGGGAGAGGGAGCTTGCTCCGGGCAGAGCCTGGAGGTGCAGGGCGGGCTCCGAGAGCACTCTCGGGGCTTCTCCTGCCAGAGCAGCGGCGGCTGGAACTCGCTCCCTCTCTCCTTCCATCCTCCCCTTTCCCGTGATCGGCCCCATCACCACGCCAGGCCCCCCTCCCCTGCCGTCATCACGCTCCCCTTCTCCCTTCGTGGCGCTTTCCTCTCGAACCATCCTTCTGGACAAACTTTGATGGAGAATTTCACACCACGCTGGAAAAATGCCGGTTATGAAAGGATTACTGGCGCCCCAGAACACCTTCCTCGACACCATCGCCACCCGTTTTGACGGAACACGTAAGTCTTGCACTTCGACGAGTTGCATGGTATTTTTTAAGAATGATTTTTTTCATATAAATTACTTTCGTTCCCACCTTCCTTTTTGCACCAGCGGAGTGGATTCCTTCTGTTCTTGCCAAGATGTCTTTTGTGCGCAGAAATTTCTTTCCTCCTATGGTTCGGTGTAGTGTTAACACTTGGATGTAGTTGGCCCCCTTGACTTCTTGGGTTTGTAAGGGCTGGAAAAAGAGCCTGAAGAAAGACCGACGCCCGTGTTCACTGTGGGACTTGCATTCTGGTACCTCTTTAAGTAATTGGTTTTTAATAATTTTATGAGGTGAAAGTGGGAATTGTCCGTATGGTGAATTGCCACCTTATCCTTCTAGAGTTTCAAGGCTCCCTAGATTACAGAGAGAGTTTGGAATATTCTTCGTCCGTGCAGCTTCGTTCCGTGAGGTCTTTCGGATAGGCATGATTTACCATGTGAGTTTAAGAAATGCAAACTAGAATCAGGATTGCCAAGTGCAAGCTTTCTGTAGAATTCTAAGCGTTGTGAGTTTGTCAGAATCTTGATTCCTGCTTTTAAGCTAGAATAGTGTACCTCTCAATCCTGAGATTATCCTAACACTCGAGGAGAGGCTTTTGGGGAAGGAGGAACTGGGCATTACAAAGGCTGATCTGATCATAAGAGAAAGTTTCAACATATGTTTTTGATGGCGAGTATTATTGGACGTTTAGCTTGTTTAAGACAACAGTTAAAAAACAAAGATATGGTGTTGTGGGGATGCTTGGAGACTGTTCAGAATCAACTGCAAATTGTTCTCTTTCAGGACCATGGTCAGGTCCTCGTTCCTTCCCAGGCTTCTCAAGCTCCCTTCTTGAGCCAGTTGGTCTTCCCAGCAGGCTTTCACCCTGTAATTAGGAGTCTGTTCTCTCACATCCAACAAATGCTCTCATTTGGTTTCACTATGACTATCCAGACCTTCCTCCTAGCTTGTGTTGCTTCTGTATGCTTTCCTTTTTCTGCCTGTTACACAAGATTCATAGAAACTCATTTATTCTAAAGGCTCTTTCAGTAGTTCAGGCACCATTGTTTTTTACTATGATGATATATTTCTTAGAGCTGATATGGGAGAGCACATGTAACTCTATTTCCACTCCAGTAGGCTAGATACACACTGTTATTATGGTGGGAAGTAAGTTCTGGACTTTTGCACTTCAGGAATAGTTGGAAAAGTTTACATGAGAGAGAAATGAAGCATTTACTTGACTTTGTTCAATTTTTATTTTTGACATCCAGCCTACTAATGGTAGTTGGTGCGGATATTCTTCCAGTGTTTTTATCTTTAGCTTTAGCCATTCTCTCCCCTTTTCTATTCTAGATGTGTCAGACAGTATGAGTGAAGAGCAATGCCATCATATATCTGTCTTCCCTAGACAAAAATAAGAGAAAATATTGTAATACAACTTCACGTCCCTGCCATTGCCATTATCTCCACCACCCAACCACCACACAAAATCACCACTGCTGTTTTTAACCAGGCATGATTGTGGGACTACTATTTATTACCTTAGGAACTGATCAGTTTCATGTGGATGTTCTTGAAGCTGCAAATTTAAACCCAAAAGGCTTTCAACATTGATCACAAATGCATTTGTTGAAAATGAAGTAATTGGTAAATGGCAGTTGCTTGTCTCATTGTCACTTAAAGTCGAATGGAGTGCAATGTGTAGTGAATCATCGCAGCGTAGCCCCAGGAATTACTGCAGCGATCTGTTTAGGTATCAGTTGCTCATGAGAGGGGCTTCAGATCCTCAGTGTGAGGATACTTTTGCCTCTTTCTCACACTATAGCGTTTGATAAGCAGAGGGCATATAGAGAGATTTGGGTGTACTAGAGAGTAGCTCTTTTTCTATTTTAACTACACATTACTGTTAATAAAATAGAAGGTTAGAAATTTTAAATCCTTATTTGGGAAGATCGCATCACATACAAGCATTTAAAATAATATTCAAAAAAACCAAACTGTTGGAGAGCATGCTTGGTCTGTGTTCCACAGGGTCTGGGGATTCCTGGAGGGAGCCACTTTGTATGAAATCAATCTGCAAATCAGTGAAGCAGATTTCAAAGTGATGAGTAACATAAAGGTTTTCTTTGGCAAGATTTTGTTCACAACATTTAATGAATACTGCTTGTGCCAACAAACCCCACTCAATGAAAGAGGATTGTATTTTCTCATTTGCTTTTTGTTTGAATTGCAGGATGACTTGAATAATCTGAAACTTAAAAAAAATACTTTAAGCAAATTTTTAGCCACAAATTTTGCTGTATCTAGAATCATGGGCATACCATTTCCCCTGCTAAATATTTAGTTTATCTTATTACACTATCTTTTCTGTGTTGACACAGTTTTATTAAGTATCATTACTACTCCTGAAACTCTTTTCCTATGATCATCTTTCTTTCTCTTGATTTTTTATAGTAGTCATTTATTTTCTTGTGCAAGATAAAACTCTTTGCAAGTTTTAAATTGGCAAAATTGCCACCTGCCCAAATAAATTATACTAAGAAAGTTAATAATAATATATTCAAAATGTAATGTGTTTACATGGTACATTTTCTGCCTTATTTGTTAGGTATATTTTATAGTCATATTAGTTTCTTATTTTATTTTATTTTGGACAATTCTGATGAAAAATAAGAGAGCAAATAATAACGCTGGCAAACCACCTTGCTAACTTAACCACCATGCAGTATTATTATTAGCCTTTTTGATTTAATATTGTAATGGAAATAGTAAAACTTAAAACATCATCTAAAATTTCTCCCAGGAAAAAATAAATATACGACACTAAAAGCCTATAACATAATCTTACTAATTTATCAGTTGCAATGTTATCACAGTGCAACATAAAAAAGTTAATAATATCGTTTATCACATAGTGACACTATTGTTTTACATATTATGGTATTTTTTCCTTTTAATATTTAAGAAGTAAGCTTTGTCAGGATTGAAAGACAATTGTGGACCATTAATTGAAACTATTTTTTCTCATATACAATATAATTTTAAAAAACTATTGGAAAATATAAATTTTTATATAAAACTACCCTAAAATATATTTACTCTTGAAATGTGTTCTCCTGGTTTGTGTTTAATTGAAATGTAAATGAGACTTAGAAAAACTAAGAACCATGCAAATATTGAATATGTGTGCCCCATTTAGGGGGAAAAAAGTAACTCCAGTGAATTTCTTTGACTCATTACATGTAGCCATACTTTTCACTTGAAACACTCTAAAACATACACACACACAGTCTTAACATTATGACCTGCATGTAGTTCACTCCTACATAGTTTCTTTCTTTTTTTAACACCTTTAATGTATTAAAAAAAATCTTTTCTGAGTAGACTTTTGCTTTAAGTACATGAATATTAATGCGGACAAAGGGAAAGTATAAGAAGAGAACACATAAGTACGTATTTTTAAAAATAGTTTTTCAGTACAAATATTTGCCACAGGGTACCATTTGAGAAAAACACGTGTTTTTTTTTTTTTTAGGATGTAAAACTTTCAGAGGGAAGTGTCCATTTTCAAACATAATGGTGCATTAGCCTACATTTTCCAGTCATATCCAAATTTGGCCAGAATCCTTCTTCCCCTTTGGGGATAGTGAGACACGACTTCAGCTTTAAAGGAAGTTTGCAGCCCAGTGGACTCTATCAAGGAGACTCCAAAGTATTCAGAAGAACAGTAGTTTAGAAACTCATTCATATTTGTATATATTTTATGTACTCCTGTATAGCCTATTCAAAATGGTCTAAGAAAATTTCTTAAAATTGATGTACTTCTTTTTTTTTTTTTAAAGATTTTATTTATTTATTTTTTTCCCCCCAAAGCCCCAGTAGATAGTTGTATGTCATAGCTGCACATCCTTCTAGTTGCTGTATGTGGGACGCAGCCTCAGCATGGCCGGGGAAGCGGTGCATATGTGCGCGCCAGGGATCCGAACCCGGGCCGCCAGCAGGGGAGCGCGCGCACTTAACCGCTAAGCCACGGGCCGGCCCTGACGTACTTCTTTACAGAGGCAGTTCTCCATGGTTTCTCTTTTCCTCCTTGTCCTTTCCTCAAGGTCCATAGATCTCTTAACACTGGAAGTGTAGAGAGAAGGGTAATGTACTCAAGCTGTAGGAAGCGGGGAAGACTATGTGGGACAGTGGAGATCTTCTTAAGTCTTTGCTGGGTTGTAGTTTGGACAATATCATCAAAGGCATTTAGCCAATAAAAAAGAATGAGCTCCATTATGTATGGGTCCATCTGTAAAAGGCTACTACATGAAAACGTTCAAGGAAATATCTAGCACTCCATAGACATCTCCTCACAAATGGAAGTTTATAAAGACTAGTTTTCATTTTATTTTTTTTTTGCATGCCACTAGTAGTCTTTTATTCCTATTCTTTTTGTTTAGGGAGATAGTTTCTGTGTTAGTTTTCTAGTTCTTTGTGGTAAATTACCACAAACTTAGTGACTTGTTATCTAACATTTTCTATCGGCTGGACATCCAGGCAAGGATTAGCTGGGTTCTCTGCTCAGGGTCTCACAAGGGTTCAAACAGGTTGTCAGCTGGGGCTGTGGTCTCAGCTGAGGCTTGACGCCCTCTTCCAAGTCCACGTGGTTGTTGGCAGAATTTAGTTCCTTGAGGTTTTGTGATTGAGGTCCCTGCTTTCTTGCTAGCTATCAGCCTGGGACTTTTCTCAGCAACTAGAGGTTGCCCTCAGGTTCTGGCCAGATGGCCTCTTCTGTAGGCCCTCCCACGACAGAACAGCTGCTTCTTCAAGACCAGCAGGAGTGTCTTTCTTTTAAGAGCTCACCTGACTAAATCAGGCCCACCCAGGATAATCTCTCTTTTGATTAACTCAAAGTCAACTGATTAGGGATCTTCATTACATCTGTAAAATCCCATCTAAAATCGTGTGTCCTGTCACACTCAAGGGAAAGAGATTAGACAGAGTATG